TTACAAAATAATCAATTAGACGATATGAATATAGATAATTCAAATGTCAATGATCTAATTGAACAATTCCTCGAATTCCATGAAGAAATAATGCTGGGATACTATGGAAAAACAGGGACTTCGTTAGAGGGCGTGAAGGAGTATGCACGTGTGGCGCCTTGCCACATAGGGAGAAAAATTCCCTACGCGTAGCATTTAGTCTTATAGTTATATTAGTATAGTTAGTTTTAAGCGCGCTAGTTTGTAAGCTTAGATTTTAGGAACACGCGGACGTTAGGACTTCCTTTTTTTTTCCTTCCTCGCTGGTACCTGAAGCTACAAAGAGCCACGCCGTTAGTGACCTGTGCAATTTAAGATTAAAAAGATCGAACCAAAGAATAAAGCGTACAACACTTGTGTGAGCAAAGTAAAGTGTTTTAATTAAATCAGTCTCTCCCAGTTTGACCACGCCGGATCGCTACATTAGTGCCGAAACCCGATTTTATCGTATTCGAAAAAGTGAAACCTCGTGGCCACCATGACCGAAAGTGCGAACGACGCAAAAGTAGAGGTGCAAGCCAGCGAGTTCAGAAACGTTAAGCTGCCCAAATTTTGGAAGGATGAACCACGACTATGGTTCATAATGCTTGAACGCGAATTTGCTGCGTATAACGTGAAAGCGGAAGCGGTAAAGTGTTCCGCAGTGTTAAGGAACCTCGACCAGGCGAGAATGAAAATCGTTCTGGACATCATTGAAGCTCCGCCGGAAAAGAGCACGTATCAGCCAAGATACCGGAGCGGATGTGTCAGTTGTTCCAAAGAAGTACGGCGACCGGAACGTCAGGGTAAGCGCCTTCAAATTATATGCGGCAAATGGAGCGGTAAGAGAATTTTCTTGGCGTTTTATAGTGGCTGATGTCACAAAACCAATTATCGGTGCAGATTTTTTACATTTTCACAACTTGTTAGTAGATTTGCGAAATAGCAGAATCTTGATGGTTGTACTCAAATTCACAAAAATATTCCCTTATCAAACGATGATTCACCGTCCGTATCAACAATAGACAATAATAACCGTTTCGCTAAATTACTCAGGGAATGCATTGACATCACCAAACTGAGAACAAACAAAACTATGATGCAAAACGTCAGTCATCATATAATAACAAAAGGCCATCCATTTGCCGAGCGAGCGAGGCGTTTACCTCCCGAAAAATTAAAGATAGCACGAGTGGAGTTTGAACAAATGCTAAAAGAAAATGTCTGTCGGCCGTCTGAAAGCCAGTGGGCCAGTCCGTTACATATGGTCCCAAAAAAAGCAGGCGAATGGAGACCATGCGGGGACTATCGTCGTCTAAATGGCATGATCGTACCGAATAGGTACCCTGTACCTCATATTCATGATGCAGCTCACCGTTTCCACGGCTGCACAGTTTTTTCAAAGATAGATTTAAAGCGAGCAGATTTCCAAATTCCGGTAGCACCGGAGTACATAGAGAAAACTGCTGTGATAACACCTTTCGGGTTATACGAATTTATGGTCATGCCATTTGGGCTATGCAATGCCGCACAGACATTTCAAAGGCTCATGGATTCCACATTACGAGGCTTACACTTTTGCCAATGTTATATAGACAACATAATTGTCGCTTCTCCTGATGTGGAAGCGCATGAGCAACACTTCGCAGGTTCCTCCCTTAAGCAGCAAACTGGCTGGATCCGCTTAATAAACATTTGAAGGGTGCGCATAAAAG